AAAAAAAAAAGAAAAAGAAAATCCCCACCCTGAGCCTTTACTTCTCATCATCATTAGCCTCAGACTTTCTCCCATGTCTCAACACTGCAGGATATTGGGGATTCTGGGTGGTTTCACCCCAGCCTTCAACTAAAAGGCAGTGGGAGGCTGCCTGCTGGTGTTCTAAGCCTGTGGCTCTAGTGTTTTGGGGCCAGGAGGCATCACTGGTGTGTTGAAAACCAGGGAGGTCTGAGAGTGCTTTATCATAACTTCTGCACCAATAAACATGCCAGCCCAGTGGCCTAGAATTAAATTCCTCATCCCTAGCTACAAGCACTGCCTTACCCTTTGCCAAGCACCTGTGTAAGACAGGAAAAGAAGGAAAGATGAAGGCCTGTATCTCGGGAAGCACTTCATTTCTAAAGGGGTTAAAATTACAGCCTCTTAGTCAAAGGCTCCATTTCTGATTTGAAGGATTAGCTGCTTAAAGAACAGATCTGACTTCTAGGGAAAGCACTGTGGGCCTATGGCTGGCTCTGCTGAATCTAAACATGGCCCACAATAAACCTGGTTGTTTCCTGGCTCCCCAGCCAGTACATCATAAACTTTTTAGTTACGTTTGGCTGAAGCTGCCCTTGATATCAAGAAAGCGATTTAATTTTTACTGACAAAAGAATAAGGGTGATTTCCCCCCTGAAACCAGCCAGAGGTCCTGAATAAATGAATGCTGTTTTAATTTTGTATTTATTTAAGATTTGTGTAGTCAGTATTTTTGCTCTTGGAAGTCTTATTTAGATGGCTGCCATAGAATTCTTTACATTCATCTCAAACCTAGATGTTATATTTATAATAGTGTGTGTGCCTCAAGAATAGGGACTGTCTGTCCTTGAATTCCCCACCTCCACCCAAGGCCTGGCACCTGTCAGTGGTATAGTAAATGTTTGCTGAACGAGTGAACAGGTGAATAAAGGGTCTAAGTTCCTAACACTGATGTCACTGTGAAGTAGGAAGGCATTTGATGCTGTGGGCCTCAGAAACTGCCAGCATTATACCCTTGAGGCAGAGCTGGCTGAGCTTCTCGTTTTGTTATTGTTAAATCAGATATTTAATAATTTAAGAAGCCAGCCCTTCCACGGCTGGGGCTCAGCTGAGCATGTTGTTAGTCTGTCCTGTGACATTGACATTCCTCATGGCTGGGCCACTCTCAGTCTGTCCTGACGGTGGCCTGACCCCACAGCTCTTCCAGGGATGCTCCATAGCCCCCAGTCCCAGCCTCCCTGCCAGGTCAGCTCCTGCCCTGAGTCAAACCCAAGTGTCCGGAATCTGATTGCCACAAACTCTTCACAAAACTGGAGTGAGAGCTCACTTCTCTCACTTTTCTCCCTCCTCCCCCTCCTCCTCTCCCTCTCTCCCTCCTCCGTCCCTCCTCCCCTTCCTCTCACTCCTCTTCCTCTCCCTCCTCCCCCTCCCTCCTCACCCCCTTCCTCTTCCCCTTCCTCTTCTCCCTCCTCCCCCTCTTCCTCCTCACCTTCCTTTCACTCCTCTTCCTCCTCTCCCTCCTCCCTCCCTCCTCCCCTCCCCTTCCTCTTCCCCTTCCTCCTCTCCCTCCTCCCCCTCTTCCTCCTCACCTTCCTTTCACTCCTCTTCCTCCTCTCCCTCCTCCCTCCCTCCTCCCCTTCCTCTCACTCCTCTTCCTCTCCCTCCTTCCCCTCCTCTCCCTCCTCTCCTTTTGTTTTTGTCTTGCTTCTTTTCTTCTTTTGCTGCTTTTCTCTTTTTCTCCTTCCCTCTCCACCATTCTTTCCTTTTTTTGGCAATGGCAGCATCTTATCCAAGCTTCTCCAGCCCTAACTTAGATGGGTCACTAGCATCATTTGGGCAGAGGTGCCAAGAAGTGCCCCACCTGTACCAGTACAGCCTCGGCTAGGAAATTATTCTGATTTAGGATGAGGGGTCATGTCACTGTCCCAGGGCTGAAGATCAAAAATCCCCTGTCAATCTGCTATTCTGAGGGTGAGAAAGACATGGTAATACAATGGGTAGCCCCAGGCCAGCGCATCATTGTCAGTAACCCAGGTGCATCATTCATTCCACATATCCCAACTGTGTCCCGCCTCATCATTCTCTTTCACCTACCAGGAGCTCCTTGAGGGCAGGCAGTTTGCTTTACCTCTGTCTCAACAGGCCTAGCACAGGCCTGTCACATAATAGGAACTAAAGAAATGTCTACACAGTCAGCCACAGTGCCGCTGTGGAGCACCAACTATGTGCTAGGCTTCACGGCCCAGGGACAGGGTGAATCAGACAGACTTCCCTGGGCTCAAGGAACGTCCAGTCTTACAGAAGAGATGACCCCTCAACTAATACCTGGTGATGCAAATGCAGGGGTCAGGGCATACAAGGGGAGACCCACCCCAGTGAATGGGGCAAGAAAACTCTCCTGAGAATCACTATTTACACTGGCTCCTAAAGGGTGAATAGGAGTTCAGTGAAAGGGGTAGAGTGGAGTAGAGGCGCCGAGAGAGCATCCAAGGCAGAGGGACTAATTGTTGGGTGGATGGATGGATAGGTGGGTGAACCTGGCATTGAAATCTGAGCTTGCTGATGGGTACAGGGAAATAGATAGATGAATTAGGGGTGTCCTGACATCTTGCATAGAACGTGGTGGGAGTGGGAGTGATATCTTCATTGCCTTCTTTCTGATGGCATATGGATTGGTGTTGCTAAAAGCCTATGGCTTGGTCACAGATACTCCCAGGAAGAGGGTATAATGACTACATTGACCTCCTCTACCAGGCACAGGGTGGAGAGTGACTCTGGGTTAAGGTAATACCCCGTGGCCCTGTGTCACATTAACCCCATTAACCCTGCCAGTCTCACCCAAGCCTCTTCTCTGCCCCCCTCTCCCAGATGAGCGAGAAGTCGTTCAGAAAAAGACCTTCACGAAGTGGGTGAATTCCCACCTGGCCCGAGTGTCCTGCCGCATCACGGACCTCTACAAGGACCTGCGGGACGGGCGCATGCTCATCAAGCTGCTGGAGGTGCTCTCTGGGGAGACGCTGGTAAAGCCCCTTTCTGTGCCGGGAGCCCTTTCCCTAGGCCCCAGGGCTGGCGCCATCAGCCCCTCTCCAGCAAAGGCCTGGGTTGGGGACATCTCAACTGCTCAAGACCTTCCAAGGTTTCTCTCTGCTCCTTTGGGAGGTTCCAACGCTTAGAATGTGAGATGTCCGTGTGGCTGACTGGGTGACTGGGTTCTCTGACCTCTTTCCAAAACTTCTTGCCCCCTTCTGGCCATTCCCACCTGGGCATGCTTCTCCCAGAAGCCACACAGAACTCTTGACTTTTTCAGTGATGTCTGGTCCTCTGTAGCTGGCCTGTGGTCCCTCTTAGAAGCAACAGGAAAGCATGGCAGCTATTTTGTGTGTGCGTAGCTACTCTTACAAGTGGAAATGTATTAGAGGTGCTCTTGGTTGTAACCCACCCAACAGAACTGTGGCTCTGAAGAAGATGTAGTGGGAGTGTTTTGTTTTGCTCAGTGCAAAGGAAGCTTTGTGCTCATGGGCCTCAGGGGCAGGACCCTCTTTACCCCCATTACCCCATGTGTAAAGGGCATGAAACCTCCATCTGATGACATACTCTGAGATCCTCAGGGTGTGAGTGAAAGGTGCTGTGTTCTTATGTTGCCTTTTCAAGTCCAGCCTGAGGTTCTGCTGCTGCCTCAGCTAAGACTCCACTAGGGAGTTACCACTGGGAACCCTTCACATGCAGCTGTCATCAGTGACATCACCCTTGAGATCGGGCTGGGATGATCAAGGGACAGAGGTGGTTGGTGGGCAGGGCCAAACCCATTATCAATCTCCAAGCTAAAAGCCACTCTGATTACTGACCAGCAGCAAATAGTTCCTAGAACTGTGCCTAGCACATCATAAGGGCCCAATTAACAATTGTGATATTATGTTTGAATGCCATTTATTACCCCCTCAGAAGGGTTTTGTTCAAGCTTAGAAGGGCACCGAGGCTGCTTGCAGAGCTCTGGGTGCTTGAGGGAGGGAACTTTGCTAAAAAGAAGGGATTGAAAAGTATCCAGGAATGACAGGGAGACGTGTCAGGCCAGGAGGGTGGAAGGTGCTGGTGACCCAGGCTGCAGCTGCCTCTAGGGCAACCCTGTGGCCCCTCCGTGCCCACGGGGTTGCTGCTGTCCTCCAGCCAAAGCCCACCAAGGGAAAGATGCGCATCCACTGCCTGGAGAATGTGGACAAGGCCCTGCAGTTCCTCAAGGAGCAGCGTGTGCATCTGGAAAACATGGGCTCCCATGACATCGTGGATGGCAACCACCGCCTCGTCCTGGGCCTCATCTGGACCATCATCCTCCGCTTCCAGGTAAGCGAGTGGGGACCTGTCAGTGCTGGACAGAGCTTGGGAATCACAAGATGGTGACTAGAGTGTGAGCGTCGGTATACATTCTGGGGTAGGCGGGTGGCTAGAAACCTGTCCTATAGGACAGTGCTTGCAGGAAGGAGTAACCATCTTCTGTGTCACCCAGAAATCACTGAGCCCCAGAAATTAGTAGCTGGACTGAGATCTGTCCAGAAGATCTGCTTCTCATTCCCTCTGCCCCCATGTGTGTAACTTCTTAGTTTTTGAAATAATTTGATTCAGAAATTGAAAAAAATAGTACCGAAGATCTGATAGGAAGATTTTCTCACCCTGAAATTCAGAGTCTAGATTATTTGTAAGGAAATTTAGAAAGGGTAAGAGAAGGAAAACAGGGCTTTGCTCCTGCTGGTTTGGGGACAGGAAGAACCCAGCCCAAAGGAGGAGGAGGAGGAGACTGCACACAACTCACAGAATATCCACGTCATCCTGGATGTCCGACTTCACTCTCCACGAGTGCATAAGATTTAGCCATGATAGGAGTAGAACTGTGAAGAATGAAAGGGCAGGCTCGGCGCCTGTGGCTCAAGCGGCTAAGGCGCCAGCCACATACACCGAAGGTGGCGGGTTCGTATCCCCAGCCCGGGCCCGCCAAACAACAATGATGGCTGGAACCAAAAAAAAAAAAATGGCCAGGC